ACAGATGTTAGTGAACTTATTTCTCAGGTGTTTCTTTAGATTGTGGTATGGTGTGTTGCTTTTTGAGATATTTTAGCCTGCTCCATTTTACAGACAGGTTCTATTTAAGTGATTTCTTGATTCAACAGCTCTGCCGGTAATCAGGCATGAGTGTGTTTAGTGAAACTGAACACAACTTTACAAAAAATGTGGTTAATCACAGTTAATTCGTGATTTAACGAGAGAAATCAGAAGGGGGGAAAACACTTTTTACACCACCGTATATTACCTTTTTTATGGTAAAAATTTTAGGAATCATAAAAACTTTTTTTTACCCAGTTGAAACATCAGCTAAATAAGAGTTTGAGCTCTTGCAGTCATCATTGGCTTCATGAAACGTCTTTGTCTCAATCCCTACAAAGTAGCAGTAGGATCCATGTCTTTTCCAACCCTGCATTGCAGAGAAACAACAGTTGAGGAACTATTCAAGCCTGTCGTTAAATGCTGTCTTTGTGTACATATCTTTTTGTGATAGCAAGAAGAAAGACCCCACATGCAGAATCACTCTGCATCAGTGTGACTACTTCAAAGTCAAAGTAAACTTTATTTTCATCTCTGCTATATACAGAACAGTATATAGCGAGACGAGACGACTCCAGTTAGATTCAGTGCAAAACACAAAAATAAATATAAGAAGAGTAAGAAAATAAATATACACTTTAAGACTCGGGTAAAATTTAAAATGTACAATTTAAAGTTTGATAATACTTTGTATTATCCTGAGATAGCTTACTCCACTCACTCCACGTTTTGTCCTAAAAGTCCAATGACTAAATAAGGTGCTAATTTAATCAAGAGAATCTGCCTGCTTTTTTTTTCTTAATTGTTTTTCCTATAAACAACATCCAAATACAATTTATTTGATTAGATATCATATCCCACGTGTATGCTGGTTTCCCAGCCATTTCTTGGACCATAGTCACAAAAGTAGCTTTAGACATTGTACCATTTGAAATATACAACAGCCTTTACAAAACAGAAACAGATAACAGAATGTGTGCATTCAGACCAACCAGATGCAGACATTCTTTGGAAAATATATGAAAGGTTCACATACAGTTTTGCAGCCTGCGTTCAGCTCCACTTCATCTCCAGAGGGTTCAGAGTCACTTGTCTTCATGCAGATAAAGCCATGTTTCTCATCACACACACGGTCAGCCCAGTTTCCATTCTGCAAGAATGAAAAGAACAAAATATATGTGGAAACTGAAATTAACAAGAGATAGACAGGCTACGGTGCATATCATAAAACAAAACCCTCATACTCTTTGATATGACTGGGTTTTTTCTTTTATTTTTTTATTGTATTTCTTTTGTTTGTTTCAAAAATCATGTGAATGCGATAACTCAAAGAGGAAGTAACGTAGGACTTTCAAATTCATACCATAGGTTCATCTACTAGCTGCCAGAGAGTGCTAAATCATCTTTTTGCTCTGAAACTGATTTAAATTGCCTTCCTAACAATCATACAACAAGTTCCCGCAGAACGTTTCCTTTTTTATGTTTATGATGTTGAAACAATACATTTCTCACACTGTTAGAATATAGTGGAAATATGTGCTTATATACATATGTGCATAGAAGAGACTTAAAGACAGGCCCCAGACTAAACGTGTGTAGCAAAGGTTTTGAAATTTACTTTGGCTAATATGTGTATACTGTATGTTGTGAAGTAAGGTGTGATACATAGCTGCATAGGTTTAGAGACAGTGTTCTTTAACAGAACTGCATAGTTTTACAGAAAAACGCTGGTGTGTCATAATCATCAATAATCACTCCCACATTGTGCACCTTACCTCCCCTCTGATCAGAACACAGTCTTCTTGTTCAGAGGTGACAGTTGGTTCCCAAGAGTCCCAGCTAGTGTAACTCACAGGAGAATCATCACTCCAGACAAACAGCCTCTCTCTGTTCCTATCATTTAGTCCAATCCAGAGTTCATCAGTGGATGCTGCAGACAGAAAATAACATTAATTGTTGTATAATTTTCTTGATACATTCTGCTCATTTGCTACTTTTTAGTTGTTACTTTTACATCTAAATCGTAGACTGTTGCTAATTGTTGTCTGCCAGAATTGCTGGAAACTTTATCATATGTGAGATGTGCAGTGATACAGGGATCAGAAAACAACAGGAAGTGACTGAATGCTTATGAAGAGATAGATATAAAGACCTGCCAAATTATTAGTCGATTCCAAAAACTAACAACTGACAAATGGTCATTATTATAAAGAGGAAGTCTGCCTGTTGGCTGAGAAATGACTATTACCTGTTGTCAGAGAACTGGATTTTCTTAAGTTGGAGGAGAGTTGTACATTGAAACTACAGCAGTAGACCCCTTTCCTAGGAAAAGATTGCTCACATTCTTATGAAGTGTGTAGCTATAAGATGTTCATTAATATCTGGGTTTGGTGTGTCTTTAACCTTTGAGTGTGATGTTCAACCCAACTTAGACATTTGCAAAATTAAGGAGAGGCAACTTCTTATGACTTAAACACAAGCTGAAAACTTCCTGGAACATTAGCAATAACTTATGTTGGTGTTGTTTCTGGATCAACATAATAATATTGGTCCAGGACTGAAATTGCAACTGACCAATCACATTGTTATGATGTCATATCTTTTCAACTTGGAAAAGAAAAGGGAACG